AAATCATAGTCAATGTCATGAGACAAAGTGTATGTGAACTGCTGTATGGAAAGTGAATTTGCTCTGTAAATTTTCACCCAACTCACAATTAAAAAAAAAAAAATTCTTGTACAGATGAAAAGATGGAGAAACAGATCAGAAAGGGGAATTTACTTTGGTGACACAGTCACTTAATTGTAATAGATGTATGCACTGTAGTTGTCTACTTTTATAAGCTACTGTGTGCCACAGTATATTCACTCTGGCTGTGTGTAGAATACTGACTAGGGCTAGGAACTGTTCTTCACAGCCTTAAGTCTGTAGCTAAAGCTAGTTAATAACTGAAAAAAGTGAATAGAACCTGGAATCCAGATATTTTTATTTTGTCAGTACATATTCCTTGAAATCACAACTTGTCTACTAGTCACTGGACTTTAAGAAGGCAGCGTTATAAATTGGAAAGAATACTGGACCAAGTATAAAAGCACATGGGTTCTATTTCTTGCCTCTTGCTAATTGGTTGGGGGGCTGTGGGCAAGACATAACCAATCCTATAGCTTCTGTATTTTTTACCTCTTAAATGATTAGATTGGACAAGATGTTTCCTTAGGTCCATTCTGGACTTAAGTGTTCCTGAATATTTAAGTTGAAAAAGATTTTTAAAAAGATGTTTTGGATTGCATTTATCACATGAGAAATCTTCCTGAAATGTTGAAAGGAAACAGCTCTTAGGTTCATAGTGTCAATGAATCTTTTGAAAGTGACAATCTTCTTACATAAACCTAATAAAAAATAATATTAAAATAAAAATATAGATGTATATACTATTTTAAAGTGTATTCTATATAGAAGTTATATTATCTTGTCAAGACAACAAATATAGTCAAGAGTAATTCTGTATTTCAAAGGACAGATTGTTTAATAAGTAATACTACCCAATACTATATTCTCTCTGCAAACTCAAATTAGGTTATAATACCACCCAATGCTATCTTGTTGTGAATACAAATAAATCCAGGAATTGATAATGCCGTTCAAATTTAGACTTGGATATGAAAATAGCTTACTGGGCAATCCCTTATGTGTCTGGTAGCATAGTGCCTAAGGCACTTGACTGCTAACCAGAAGGCTGGCAGTTCAAACCAACCAGACACTCCTCAGAAGGAAGGTTGGGCAATCTACTTCCGTAGTGATACCACCTCAGAAACCCAAGGAGGGGTCGCTGTAAGTTGGATCCACCTCAATGGCAGTGCATTTGGTTTGGTTTGGTGTTATTGTGCATCAATCTGAGAAACTGCTGTGGTTTTTGGAAATGGATTTTTTGGAAATGGATTTGAATCAGATGAAACTAGTGTACTACTTGCCCAGAGAAAATGATGCCATTTGTAGAGTACCTGGGGAGGTTGCATGTCATTTTTTAGCCTTATTGAGGGCTGAGGGTTGCAGAATGCAGGCCATATCCACCCTATTTATGAGATTGCCACGTGCTGTGGTTCACTCATTGGGCAGCTCTGGGTTATGGCAGGCTATGAGACATGCATCTCTTATGGAACCTGAATAGATGGCAGTCAGGACATAAGAAAGTTATTCCTTTCTCAGTTTCTGTCAGGACTGATTTCTTCCCGGGGGAAAAGCTCAGTGTACTGCTAGGGTGTTTCTAACCCCTCTCTTATTTACAAACCACCTTTGTAACAAAATGAACGTCAACCATGCAACTCAATGCCTTTTGCAAAGAAAAACCGAAAAAAGAAAAAAAAACAGTATCTAGCTATAATTTTTAAACCTTGATTTGTTCACTATTTTTACTGACATCTTCTATTTATAACAAACAACACTACTGTGTTAGTGATGGTGGCAACATAATGTATTCTATTAAAATGGATTTATTTAACCCCTAAAGGTATGTCGATTGAAAGAAATCTTATTTAGCAAATAATATTACATAGCTGGCAAGAATTTCTAAGATGCAATGCAAATGATTCAAACATGGGAAATACTGTACTGGTGGAAAATATGCTTAACTGGAAAAGAAGAAACTTTATTGCTGAATCGAATTCTAGCCCTGTCACTAATTACTGGATTGTTCTAGCACAAGATGGTGAATTTGTCATGCCTCTGTGTCCTCTTATCCAATAAGTATAATAGCATTTAATAAATAGATCTCCTTTTCCATTTATCCAATGAGCATGATAGCATTTGCCAAGCTACCTAATGTAATGATTATAGGTAAATAATGGATAGTAAAATACTATAAAAGTGGAAAATTTTGTGTACATGAATTTCCTTATTATGTATCTGAAAACTCTCTGTCTCTTTCTTTTTCTCACTATCCCAGACAATAAACACTATTATAGTCATTTAGGCAGGATAATGCTATACTTGTTTCTTGCATGGCTCATGATACAGCAGGGTATGTTCATCTGTGTTTGAGAAGGAAAGAGAAACTGGCTTAAGGTGTGCTGTTTCTACTCTGATATTATTCCTAAACACAAAATCTGTAGTTGTCTTCTTCAGATTGATTATATCTGCTTATTTTTTACTGTTTTCTATGATGATAAAAAAAGAAGCTTTAAAACTAAATTATGTTTAGAAAATGAACATCATTATAGATTTTGTTTATCTCAGAGTCTATGAAGAATATTATGACCTGCCTGAATATTTAGAAGTGTTAAAAAATAATGGAATTTGGCTGCATAACAAAATTGTTTCTTATCCGGATATAATATGTGAGCTCTTGCTTACTGTATATTTTTATTATGTCTAAAATCTTAAAATTTTCTATGTAATAGAGTGTAGTTCTTCACAAAAGATATTTTGCTGTAATATTTTGGACTGTAATTTCCCCTAGATTTCAGAATGTCTTTTTCCAATTTAATCTGTTTATTTTACTTGAAACTAATATTGTTATTTTGATTAAGATATAATGGTTCAGTTTAGTATCAGTTGATTAATGATACCAGGCTTATGGCTGTATTTTATTCTGAAGCAAACATAAACCTGATTCCCAAGTTATCAATTCATTGTATCAAATAGAGAATATCCACACACATATAAATACAGATAATCTCAGAGTCACAAATGTCCAAAAACAGAAGATTTATACTTACGAACCAACCACCATTATGGTTATTACATTAAAAGTCCAAGATACACATACCCACTCACTGCCATCGAGTCAGCTCCAACTCATAATGACCCCTCCTTGGGTTTCTGAGGCAGTATCACTACAGAAGTAGACTGCCCAACCTTCCTTCAAGGAGCGGCTGGTCGATTTGAACCACCAGCCTTCTGGTTAGCATTCAGATGCCTTTGGCAGTGCCACCAGAGCTCCCAAGATACATATAATGGTTCATCATAACAAGCAGGCACTACTTTGCGATGAGCATCAAAACATTCTTCTTATTATTGCTGTTTTATTATGTCAAAGATGTTTTAGAATATCTAGAAGTGTTTCTTTAATATTTTTATGCGTAGAAAGGTATACTATATACTAAGGCAAATGTTTGACTAACTAATGTGAGATACAAACCATACCTAGCTATTTTGACTTATGTACAAATTTTACCTAAAGACAGATTTAGGAATGGAGCCATTTTGTAATCCAGGGACTGCCTGTAATGTCAGCAATTGTGGTTTCATTCCATTCTATTAAGCAAAGCTATTTAAACAATGTTGCTGCTGGATTAGGAAATCTAGATACTCTTCTCTCATTCCTTTATAAATACTATGTATGTTTTTTTAAAAGAAGCCTCACAGCCTTTGAGTCAATTCCAACTCAGCAACCCCCATTGGATTTCCAGGGTAGGTTGCTCCATCTTTATAGAAGTAGGTTGCTCCATCTTCCTTCCATGGAGTGGCTGGTGAGTTTGAATTGCTGACTTTCTGGCTAGCAGTCAAATGCCTTAGGCACTGTGCCACCAGAGCTCCTTGTGATCTATGGGCAGTGACCCTCAAACTTGAATGGTCATCAGAATCACCCCTGGAGAGCTTGCCAAACAGATTTGTAGACCCTCATCCATAGTGTTTCTGATTCTGCAGGTCTGGGATGAGGCCAGAAAATTTACATTTGCAACAGTTTCAGTGATGCTGATGATGGTGTTCTGGGGAATCACACTGTGAGAACCATTGGTGTAGGGGAAGGAAACAGTGCAGCAGAGTGGTGAAGGTCATGGACTTCAGTGATAGGCATTGATTTCAACCCTAGTTTTGACACTAGCTGCATAACATGGACAAGTTAGGGACCAGCTTTGCCATTTGTATAATAAAAATTGATATTGAATTGGTATTATTGAATGAAATAATACATATTAAGTTCTTAGAACTATTAGTGTTAATAGAGAAGAATATACAAATTTATGTCAGTTAAATTGCAGGAAGTTTATTGGCTTTTGCTAAGGAGGCTGGATAGATGGCTTTCATGGAAGATATTTTTTCTATGATAAATGTTCTGAGTTTGAAGAAAATTCTCTGGTAGCATAGTGTCTAAGGCATTTGACTCCTAACCAGAAGTCTGGCAGTTCAAACCCACCAGCCACTCCTCAGAAGGAAGGTTTGCAATCTACTTCTGTAGAGATACTGCATCAGAAACCCAAGGAGGTGTCGCTATGAGTCCGGTCTGACTCGACGGCACATAACAACAACAACAGTAAAAGAAAATTCAGTGAAAAGTAGTGCCTTTAGTGAAAGCAGTTAGGAGAGTGTGTAGGAGAATGTAACCCAGATTACAGTTTAAGCAAAAATGTATCTGTTTGTGAAACAAGTTTCTCAATACTTGGAACTTACTGCATTTGTTTCTTTCCTTCTCTTAGCAACAAGAACAAGACCCCACAAATCTATACATCTCAAATCTCCCCATTTCTATGGATGAGCAAGAACTTGAGAATATGCTGAAACCCTTCGGACATGTCATTTCCACGAGAATACTAAGAGATGCTAATGGAGTCAGCAGAGGAGTTGGCTTCGCCAGGTAAACCCCCTTGCTCTGTTAATATTCTGTCCTTATTGTTCCTTTTTAATTACATTTGTTTCTAGTATTAAGGCCCAAAGCAAGAGAATCTGCAAAAAAATTAACAACAAAAAAAGTTTTATCAAAGCATCTCTCTTTGTATCTTTGCTTTGAGCCAAAGGATTTCAATGTAATTATAAATACATTGTACTTGCTAAAATATGTACACAGAATGTTTATATGTGTCTTGATTCATAATGATATGCAAACTCATTTCCCAGGCCTCTTTGTGCCTGTAGAGTCACAAAATCAGATGCTGCCGGTTTCTGGCAGGGATAATAAATGCCCAGAACCTCAAAGCAAAAGCCCAGGTGATGAACAAAGCATCCAAATGTTTTTGCACTGCTTTACTGAGAAGAGAGATGGTAAGATTTCTAAGTAAGGAGAAGAGGGGGAAGATTTAGGAAAACATGGTTTGGTGGAAAGTCCCAGGGGACTGAGAAATATAAGGGGAGGTCAAGGGGGTATTTTGCATTTAAGAGGCCCTGTCTGTGTGTTTCTGATGTTTTAGGGACAGGAAAAAAAGTAAATTGTTCTTCTTTTGTGGTTGTAAAGTTCATTTTAACTTTAAAGGAATGTTTACAAAAGAGGATTGAAGCCAGGAATGAAGTTAAAATGGTTGTACCTGCTCTACTTTCATGAAAAACAAAACTAGAAGAACCACAGAGAAAAAGAAACTGCTCCAGAAGAAAGAAGTAAAGCAAAAGCCTTGTCTCAATGCTTTGGTGCATTTACCTGTGTCTCCAGCTGACAGCATGGCTGAATGGAAGGAAGTTATGTGCCATATCTGAAGTCAGCCCATTGCAGACAGACTGTCCATGTAGGATGAGCCCTCCTATGACTTGGAAACCATTCTAAATCAACGTTGGTTAACTCACCTTGGAAGATAGCAAATTGTATTGTAAATGCCAAGTGATCTCTCACTAGACTTCTTTGAGGTCAAGGAGCATGTCTTAAAATTCCTTTTATTACCCACAATAATTTACACATAGCAGATGAGTAGACATATATGCAAGAGACATGGTTAATTATTTGACTTGAAATAGGCAGAATGAGGAAAATCATGACTTGATTTTCATGGTCAAGGCAGAGCTAATGACACTACCTGATACTCTGGGTTTTGCCAATCTGGTTATTTCCTGAGAATATACAACCTGCTATTGGAGGTTTGGTGGTGTAGTGCCTAACGCATTTGACTGCTAACCAGAAAGCTGGTGGTTAAAACCCACCAGCCACCCCTTAGAAGGAAGATTGGGCAATGTACGTTCATAGATATACCACCTCAGAAACCCAAGGAGGAGCTGGTATGAGTCGAATGGACTTGACGGCAGTGACTTTGGTGTAGATTGGAGGATTGAACAGGGAGGGCATTCACTAAAGTGACTGGAATGTTTCACTTTACATAATATGGGACTTCCCAACTTCCTTTAGTTCTTCTTCCTAACCCAATTTAAAACAAAACAAAACAAAACAAAAAACCTTCCTCTGTAACAAATTAATTTCTCTGTAACAAATTTGTGCTCCTACTGAGAAATGAGCATATTTCAAATTAATCAAGAGAACATATTTTCTAAGGCAGTGTGTACTGATGTTTTTAAAACAAAGAAATTTTTGTTTTTTGGCTACAAAATTGGGTTAGTCATTTCTTTTACATTTATCTTTTCTGGACACAGAGTTTGCCTGAAAGGAAGCATATTTTCTTAAGTGCAGAGCCAAGTAACGCACATTGTAAAAGGCAAACTATAACCATAGCATAGGATATCATGAAATGATAAAACTTCACAAAGTTCTTTCCTTTAGAACAATGGAAAGCAGAGTTTTGAGTTATTTTATGCCTGATGTGACAGCAAACTTTTTCCTCCTGCTGTACATTTTGTATATAGAAGCAACAATGGTGTTAAATATGTAAATCATATCATGTAAAGAACCTGGTTACAACCCTTACATGTAACCTGAGTGATTGGATTTGCTGACCTCAGCATCATCCCTGACCTTTCTCACCTGTCTTACCTCTTCCTGCCTCATGTAGAGCACAAGCCAGGAATCTTCTCTTTCCCTGGCTTCTGCTTCCTCATACACTAAGTATCAGCTTGTATGCCATATCTTAAAAAACCTTCACTGTCCTCCAACTGCAGACGTCAGACAGTGTTAGGTGCTCTTGTTTCGGGTCCTGTAAAAGTTTTTTTGTTGTAGTTGTCTTTTTCTTCTTTTTTTTCCATATAATTTATTATAATTAAATTCAGTTAGTTTTGTGTAGATTTACTTATTTAATGTCTGTGTTCCCCCACTAGATTGCACTTGACATTAAATTAGGGATCATGTCAGCTGTTTTTCATTTTTGTATGAATTGTTGATTGGTTGGTTTACTGCATAATTACCTTTCTATGAAATCCCTGCCATGACTTGTCTGCCATTTTGTTGTACTGTGGTGGCTTGCATGTTGCTATGATGCTGGAAGCTCTGCCACTTGTATTTCAAATACCATCCAGGTCACCCACAGTGCACATGTTTCAGCAAATCTTCCAGACTAAGACAGGCTTGGAAGGAGGACATGGCCAGATCCACTTGGGCATGGGAAAACATGAATACTAGGAAAACATGGTTTGATACAGTTCTGGAAAATGAGCCTTCAGGTTGGAAGGCACTCAAAATAGCCTGGGGAAGAGCTGCCGCTTCAAAGGAGAGTCGATTTTAATGAATGAAATCAAGCTTTCAGGATCTTCATTGGCTGATGTGGCATGACTCATATGAGAAGAAACATCTTTAAGCATCCATTCATAATAAAAATGTGGAATGTAAAAAGTATGAATCTAGCAAAATAGGAAGTTGTAAAAAAGAAGTGGAATTCATAAAAATCAATATCCTGGGCATTGGTGAGCTGAAATTGACTTGTATTGGTCACTCTGAATCTGACAATCATATGGTCTACTATGCTTGGAATGACAAAGAATAATGGCATCACATTCATTGTCAAAAAGAATATTTCAAGATCTATCCTGAAGCACAGTGCTGTCAGTGATAGGATAATATCCATACGCCTACAAGGAAGACCAGTTAATAATACTACTATTCAAATTTACACACCAGCCACTAAAGCCAAAGATCAAGAAATTGAAGATTTTTGCCAACTTCTGCAGTCTAAAATCAAACAGATATTCAATCAAGGTGTGTTGATGATTACTAGTGATTGGAATGCAGAAGTTGGAAACAAAGAAAAATGTTGGTAGTTTGAAAATATGACCTTGGTGATAGAAATGATGAAAGAGATTACAGGATAGAATTTTGCAAGACCAATGAGTTATTTATGGCAAATATCTTTTTCAATACCACAAATGGCGACTATAGAGGTTGACCTCACCAGATGGAATACAAAGGTATCAAATTAACTACATCTGTAGGAAGAGGCAATGGAGAAGCTCAGTATCATCAGTCAGAACAAGGTCACGGGCTAATTGTGGAACAGGTCATCAACTACTCATATGCAAGTTCAAGCTGAAGCTGAAGGAAATGAAAACAAGTCCACAAGAGCCAAAATACAACCTTAATTATTTCCCATCTGAATTTAGCGACCATTTGAGAATAAATTTGATGTGTTGAACACCAACCAGCAAAGACCAGACAAGTTGTGGGATGACATCAAGAACATCACACATGAAGAAAGCGAAGGTCATCGAAAAGATAAGAAAGGAAGAAAAGACCACAATGGATGCCAGAAGAGACTCTAAAACTTGTTCTTGAAAGGAGAGTAGCTAAAGTGAAAGGCAGACATGATGAAGTAAAAGAGCTGAACAGAAGATATCAAGGGGCTGCTCAAGAAGACAAAATAACATATTATAATGAAATGTGCAAAGACCTGGAGTTAGAATATCAAAGAGGAAGAACATGCTTGGCATTTCTCAAAGTGAAACAACTGAAGAAAAATTTCAAACCTCGAGTTGCAATATTGAAGGATTCTATGGGCATAATATTAATGAAGGAAGCATCAAAAGAAGATGGAAGGAATACACAAATTGCTGTGTCAAAAAGAATTGGTCCGTGTTCAGCCATTTCAGGAGCTAACATATGACCAAGAACCTATGGTACTGAAGGAAAAAGTCAAAGCTTCACTGAAGGAATTGGTGAAAACCAAGCCTTCAGGAATTGACAGAATACCTATTGAGATATTTTAACAAATGGGTGCAATGCTGGAGGTGCTCACTCATTTATGCCAAGAAATTTGGGAGACAGCTGCCTGGTTAGATGACTGGGAGAGATCCATATTTGTGCCCATCCCAAAGAAAGATGATTCAATGGAATGCAGAAATTTTCTAATAATATCATTGATATCACATGTAATTAAAATTTTACTGAAGATCATTCAAAAATGGTTGCAGCAGTACCTTGGCAGAGAACTTCCAGAAATTCAAGCTGGACTCAGAAGAGGTTGTGGAATAAGGAGTATAATTGCTGATGTCAGATAGATCTTGGCTGAAAGCAGTGAATACCAGAAAGATGTTTACCTGTGTTTTATTGATTATGCAAGGGCATGTGCCTGTGTTTATCATAACAAATTATGGATAATGGGAATTCCAGAACACTTAATTGTGCTCATGAGGAACCTGTACAGAGACCAAAAGGCAGTCATTTGAACAGAACAAACAGATACTCTATGGTTTTAAATCAGGAAAGATATGTGTCAGTGCTATATCCTTTCACTGTACTTATTCAGTCTGTATGCTGAACACATAATCCAAGAAGCTAGGCTGTTTGAAGAAGAACAGGACATCAGTATTGGAGGAAGACCCAGTAACAACCTGAGATATGCAGATAACACATCCTTGCTTGCTGAAAGTGAAGAAGACTTGAAGCACTTACTAATAAAGGTTCAAAACTATAGTCTTTAGTGTGGATTACACCTCAACAGAAGGAAAACAAAAATCCTCACAAATGGACCAGTAAGCAACATTATGATAAATGGATAA